TACGCGCTAGAGCTCATGGGAAATGTAGGCTTCATTCCGGCAAAACACTACCACTTTTGTCCACAGGGTTGCCAAAATCAACTCAAAATGAAAGTTCCTTGTAGGGGCTTTAAACTAATGCAAAGGTTGATGAGCTACAGCGCAACGCGTCCAGTGTGTGCTAGGGGCAGCGTTTTTTGCCCAGTTTCTAACAACTCTACTATCTACTACTAAGTAATCATAAAGTAATCAAATGTAATAAGTCACATTACTCTACTGAAGTAATGGAAATAGTTACATGACTTGTTACAGTTTTAACAGGGTAACAGGTAATCTGTAACCTATTGCATTTTAAAAGTAAGATGCTGCTTAAGATTCTCTGTCATCCAGGTCATGGTAATCATAAGTGCTATATCATAGGCAACTGGACATGAGTTTCTTGACAAGGTTTCACTTCTCATCCAAGAGAGGTCAAAGGTGACCTAAACAACTCTGAAAACTCTGAGCTCACATGTGACCTCAACGACTCTGTGAGTTAAAGGCCTGCAACTCTGCACCAGTCAATTAGAACTGAAGAAGCCTCTTGGACGAGAGGTGAAACGTCTTCAAGAAACTCAAGCAAGTCCAGTTACCTATGAGATAGCACTTAAGATTTCAAAAGTAACCTTCCCAACACTGCTGATACTGAGATAAGAGAGCTACATTGATAGCAGCCAGTGAGAGTTTCCCACAAGAGGCAGATATTATTCTACAACACAAATGTGCATTTACAAATTCTTGTCTTCACTTTATATACTCTAACTTGCAAACTAATCTTTTTACAAAAAAAATTAAAACATCTGAATTTCAGAATCCTCATCTTGCCCAAAATGGCCATGTGTTAAGACCTATTAAAACTCTTTTTTTAAATTTGTCTGGTGCACATGTGTCGGACCTTCAGTAGAGAATGGCTGAAAAGTCTGCACACCACAACTTCTAAAAAAGTTCAGCAAAAATTGTTTTATGTCGAGCCCTACTTCCTCTTTATCCTGCAACAGCAATAAATCAACAACATATGAATACACTGACAGGATGGTACTATTAGGAGCAGAGAGATCAGAAAAAGTTGTGTAGCTTATGACGCTAATGTCTATTTATAACTTCCACCTGTGTGTGGTTTGGTGTCTGACAGGAAGCATCTGTGTATGTTAAAGGTTTCCATACAGACACACACATGATGTGCAGACTTCTCAGTTGGTTTCATACTAAATAAAAAACACAAATGGACCAAATTACACTGTAAAGATGTTTTGGTCATATTATTCTATTCTGTATTGCACAACAGGGGGCAGCAGTGTCCCATATTAGCATCCTGCTTCATACAGACTTTTCAGATGAGGCCTTTTTTATTTCTATTTATTTTCAATCTGATATATCTTTTGATTTTCTTACCAGAGTGTCTCTAGGTTGGTCATTAGTGCCTCAGACAAACTGGGAGTGCAGTGCTTTGCTTTAAGGGCACACCACAGTTACTTACACAACACTTCTCAAACCTGTGGACTTCCTCCAGAGCCTTCCGGTTGTCTCTGCAGGGAAACTCAAGTTTCCATTTGATTTTAGCGTCTCTGTCCTTTTCTCAGACTGTGTGGCACCAGGAGCCTGCAGCCATACATTGAACGCCTCTTCCTGCTCTCCACGTCCACCACTGTTGTCATGACATCAGAGGTGTCACTCACAGGGCCGGGCCTTCAGCTGCGCTACAGTGTCTTCAACCAATCAGACCGTAAGTTGTGGATGATAAATGAACTGCCACTTAACATTTCTACTGTGTTTCACTGATGTTTATGAATGGATTTTTTGTAATGTGTATGTGCATGTTTTTTAGCCTGTCCAGGCCAGTTTCTGTGCACTTTTAACGGCCTTTGTGTTCCTGCCTGTGATGGAATCAAGGACTGTCCCAACGGACTTGACGAGAGGAACTGTGGTATTTATTTATGTTTCAAATGGTTTATTTAAATTGATTCACACTTCACTTGTTGTGCAGAAACAGGAAATTGACACATGGTACAGGAAGAGCCTCAAAAGTGAACCACACAAAAAGGGGCCCAATGCATTTAGTTACCAACTGATTTACTGTCAGATAATGTTTTGGACTGGATTGGATTGGATTGGATTAACTTTAATAATCCCCAAGGGGAAACTGGATTGCCACCATGGCCAACATACAGTACAACAATAAGACATAGACAAAATATACATATACAATAACATCACCTAGGAGTGCAGTGGTCCAATACAACAATAGCAAAATGACCAGAAAAATAAATAAATAAATAAATAAAGATTAAAAAGAATAAAAAGAGTAAAAATGCAATTAAAAGTACAATGTACAAGGACGAGTATAGCAGCAGGTTATAAAAGCAAGAAAGTGTCGTTGCAATTTAAAGTGCAATGTTCAAGGGCGAGTATAGCAGCAAGACATGACAGCAAGAGAGTGTAGCTACAATTTAAAGTGCAATGTTCAAGGACTAGTATAGCAGCAAGACATGACATCAGCAATTCAAATTAAAAAGCCTGGTTGCTGCAGCAACAAAGGACTTCCTTAATCTTTCTGTGGAGCATCTGGGCAAAAGAAACTGCTTACTTCTGCCACTTCTAACAAAAGTGCTATGCAGGGGGTGATCATCCTGAGACAAGATAGCTCTAAGCTTCCTCCTAGTCCTCTGCTCTGTTATGACCTCCAGAGAAGCAGGGCTCATACCAATAACAGATCCCGCCTTTCTAATAAGTTTGTTGATCCTGTTCCTGTCCTCCAATGTTAGGCTGCCACCCCAACAAACGACCGCATAAAAAAGGACACTTGCTAAAATACCATTATAAAAAACATTTAGAAGAGATCTGCTGATGTCAAATGATCCGAGTTTCCTGAAGAAAAATAATCTGGTGTTCACGACAATCAAAGTTTTTTTTTCAAAATGATTAAATTGCAGCCACTGGGATCCAGCAGCACACTTCAGGAAAAGGACACAGGATCAACAGGGGTGAACCAAACATCCACTGCCACACTATATTGCCTCATATGTCACTTAGGAAGATAAAAAGTTGCTGTTTTTTCAAGCTGCAAGGGAGGCTATTGTTTAAACATCTGTAACTGTCTGGCTTAAAAGTTTAAGTGTGATTTAATCTGACGGGCCTGTTCTTTCTAAATGTTCTGAATCTATTTGGCTCCTGGACAGTAGGCCTATCTAACAATGGGAAAACCTGTGAGATTTGGCAGCTTGTCAAGCCACAGCACTATTATTGGTTTGGCTTTTTGGGTCACTACTCAATAGTGAGTAAAAGCATTTATCATGTGATATAAACACATTAAAAAGCAAAAGCTTTGTAAGTAAGCTTTGTTTGTTGCCACATGCTGAGTGAGAAACACCAAAGTTTTATGTTACAATAAACGTCTGGGCAAAATTGTCCTTAGCTCTGGGTTAAAAAAAAAGTTCATCCATGTTTTTTTTCTTGAGTTTTAGTTGCTGTAAAACTGTTGTTAAATTTGTTCCCGAGTGGCATTTAAAAAGTCTTAAAAAGTATTAAATCTAATTTGCCTTAAGCTGTAGAAACCTTGGTTAATGAAAAGCACAGCAGGCTGCTTGCTGCCTCCTGTTACATAAAAGCTAAACACAATGCTGTCTCTGTTTTTTTCTTATATGATTGAATGTTATTGAGCATATGGACACATGTGCAAGCTGGTACATTTCATTATGTGTGTGTTTCAGTGTGTGTGGCGCAGTACCAGTGTCCAGAGGACAGTCAGTGTGTGGACTACTACAAGGTGTGTGACCAGCTCCCAGACTGCCCGGAAGCAACAGATGAGATGAACTGTACTGATGGTAACACACTCAAAGCTGCATTTACTCACTCTCACATCCACAAAATATCAGGTGCCAGCCTGTTGCAAAATCTCGTGCCTTCATTTTAAGCTTTTTTGTGGCATCATTTTACCTCCTGGACAAAGAGATTTCTGATCTCAGCAACTTAAACAGCAGTAAAGCAAATCAGGAAACATACAAGTCTGTGTGTGTTGGTGTGTGTGTGTGTCTGTGTCCAGGTGTGCCGTGTACGGACATGACCTATGTGTGCGCTGATGGAACGTGTCTGAAGAAGCCGAACCCAGAGTGTGACTTTGTCACTGACTGCTCCGACGCCTCGGATGAGAAGCACTGTGGTGAGAAGATGAACACACCTACTTTTTATGTACTGTTATTTCACACTAATTCAGTTCTGGCAAATTTCGTGATGTCTTCGGGCTCTCTTGGACGGGTTATCCAAAGACTTTCTTAGACTTACTGTCAGCCTGTAGGTACAATGTAGGTAGTATGTGTAAATGAACTGTGGTACACTTCCTCCATCTTACCAGAGCCCAGATCTCCCTGATCGAATCATGCCACATCCAGCAGATTTCGAAGTTTGTGTCGTACTTCCACATTTTCATATTCCCACCACCACAAAAAAAGTCTAGTAGGGGATCGAGCTCTCTTAAATACAGACCAATCTCAGATCAAAAATTTAAACTGGGCAGTGCTGATCAAATATAAACAAAGATTCTGTTGTTGCCCCTTTCTCACCTAACGTGTCTGCAGAAACATGTTTTACTGCACTGTTTGGCTGTAATTTGAGAATTTATGAACAGGAAGTGGGAGCCATACTGTTTCCTGTGTTGTCAAAACAGAGACTAGAAAATACTGAGCTCAAACAGTAAAACTAAGCAGTGCTGATCAAAAATGAACTGAGATTCTGTTACTGCATTGCCACATTCTCACCTCAGACGTTTTCAAAAACATGTGTTAGCTCAACTGTAATTCGGGATCATTTGCTACCAGTGACGTACTCAGGGTGTTTGAAGGGCAGGGGCGAAAAGGAAAAAAGGGCACTTACTGCATGATATGGGGACAAGAGGGCAGCCAAAAGGGCACATCCTCTCATTTTCGCCACTCAAGAGGGCACTTTAGCGCTGCGTTTTCAACTGAGGCGGCACCGGGAGGGGGGGGGGGGGGCGGTCGCCCATCAGCAGGAGCGTTTATTGGTCTTGTGTAGTGCAGTGCATTCTGTTAGTTGTAGGTTTTCTACTGCCTGAGCAAGAGTGTTTCTCT